TCACTTTCCCTCCACAGGAGAAATGTATTGATAATTTTATATTGTCAAAATGGCAAGGTCCTTGGTGACAAGTCACCCCTAAAGAAATTCTATTGGTAAAAATTTGTTTGAGGCTTACTGGGGAAAATATTAATGATGTAAGATTTGCATTTGATATCTAAGAATATTATAGGATACTATATGCTGCATAAATCCAGATCCAACATTTATTCAGATAATTTTTAAAATTTAGAACATGATTTCAAAGGTGGTATATCTCTTGCGGAGGGAAATCTTGCTGAAAGAAATTACAGCTTCTTTGATTAACAAATAATGTATCCTGTCTGTGTAGCTCTCTAAAAGAAAGAATTAAAAGGGGAGAATGGTTTCATTATTCATAGTTTGGTTTGTGGGGGTAAGAGAGGGAATGAGAAAAATCATAAGACATCCTTGGAACAATTTAACATAAAATAGATAGATATATATAGATCCTGAGATGTTACAATAAATTTTAAAAATATATAGATCAACATGATCCAAACGGTTTCCAAGACACCGATATGGTTGGTAAACAGCCATTTTACAGTGTGTGCTGCATAGATGTCCACATCATGCCCGGAAAAACCCTACTCTTTGCCTCCAAATTTGAAAGCTAGTCATCCAGAGCAGGTGGCCAGTCAACATCTACAGACTAGAAGGGAGAAAAGTCATTAAGACAAATATTACAGTTCTGGTAAACATTTGCTGTTAATGCTATATAAATTTAATAGTTTTAATATAATGCAACAGAAGAAACTGCATTTGAGTTAAAGAGCTATTGAGTACCACAATTTAACATTCTAAAGTCCATTCTAGGGATTCTTGGGCCTAAGGTGTGTTTCTAAATTAACTGAGTAGCAGTATTTGGTTACTCAGCTGGTTATTAATTGTGTCTTTTGGCTATAACAATAAATTTAAGTTTTAAAATGTTATTTATAGGTAAAGTAGCAAACAAATTTAGGTGACTATACCAATTTTCCCTCAGAAGTCTCAGCAACTTTTATTCTTCTGGACATTTTCATTCTTCTGTCTTGCATTTAACAAATACTCAAGTAGTCTAAAAACCTACAGTCTTATTTGTAACTTAGCAGCTAAATGTGAAATAAATGAATAGGAAAGATCACATGGAACTAGAAAAGGATTAAGGATCTTTGTGTTTCACTTCAGCGGAATTTTTGGTTTTTAAATCCAATTCATCTGCCTCTACTTACCTTCATTTTAGTCTTCTAGAACAAAACCTTGACCTTCAAGTCATAAGGAAATTACAGCAAGCAGACTATTTTGTCTCCACATAAATAATCACATTCCAGGTCTTAGAAGTATCTAAGCACACCTTAACTACCCTAGGACACCTATTTTTTTTTTTGTTAAAGAAAGTTTTAAAAATCCAACTTTATTTCTTTGCTTGGCTTGAAGATTTAGATCTGATGCCATATGTAAAGCACAATTAATGAATTAGCTCCAGTTAGCTCATTAGTTACAAAGTCAAGGGATCAGATCCCCATACTCACCAGCCACCAAAAGTAAGTAAATATGTAAATGAATAAATAAATAAGCTCTATATTTGCAAGGATGTTATGACTTTTTTCTTTATAGTCCATGTCCAAATGTCAAGGTTTGGGCATAGATTTTTAATATTAGTTCAATACTTTTTAAAAAACACTAGTCTTTGCCACAATGCTCATTTTGTCATCTTTCCAGTCCCATTTTTTAATAACAGCCACTGGCATCTGCTAGATGGTAGGTTTCCCAAAGGGTCACACACAGAATGACCTCAATGATGGCTTTCCTTGTACCATGACCCAGTGGCAATAGGATGGAAGGGATAATGAGAATATTAATTTAGTCTTGGTCAAGGGCCTTCAGAAGGATTATCAAAGGACCTAGTTGTTTGCTAACACAGTAGGAGAAGTTAATTCTCTCTTTTTTTAAGAGATAACTTTGTATTTCCCTCATAGGTCAGTAACTAATTCTGGAATTTGTTCTTAATAAGATTACATTAACAGAAGACACAGAGTACGCCCAGGGTCCTAGGCAGGAGCCAAGGACAGTCCCCTCCACCCGGAAGCAGGCAAGAAGTAGAACAGCCCAGGGTCCTGTGAAGGAGCCCAGGGCAGCATCTCCTTCCTGGAAGCGGGCAAGGAGCACACCGAAAACACCACTTCCATGCAGGTGGCCCATCACAGCCACCACCATGGCTGCTGCAAAAGTGGCTCAACACCACAGCAGCCGTGCAGACGGCCCACCAGACACCCGACTGCAGTGACATACGGAGAGTCACCAGCGGAGACCAGGAAAAGAAGAGAACGTCTCTCAGCTCAAAGCCCACTCCACCATAATAGAAGCAATTGCTCTACCATGCCCCTGCTTTATTTCTGATTTTTGAAATTTCTGTCTTTTTTTTTTTTTGGTCAGTCTAGGTAAAGTTTTGCAAATTTAATTGACCTTTTTCAATAATCAACTTTTGGTTCTGTTGATTTTCTCTCCGTTTTCTAATTCACTATTTCTTGTGTTTCTGTTGTAATCTTTGTTATTTCCTACTTATATTTGCTTTGTTCTTCTTTTTCTATTTTCTTAAGGTAGAAGTTTACTGACTTGAGATTTGTCTTATTTTTAATATAGGTGTTTACAAGTATAAATTTTCTTCTAAGTGCAGCATGAGCCCTGCATCTTATAAATTTTGATATGTTGTGTTTTGATTTTTATCTCATAGTACTTTCTAATTTCACTGTGATTTTTCTTTTTACCCATTGTTTATTTAGGAGAGTGTTGTTCAATTTCCACACATTTATGAATTTTTAAAATTTCCTTCTGTTATTTTGGTCAGATAACATACTTTCTATGATATTAGTCTTTTTAAATGTATTGAGACTTGTTTTGTGGCTAAAAATAAAATAAGAGAAAAAAAGAAGATTACATTAACATTCCTTACACAGGACTCTATTGCAGCCTTGACAATATTTATCTGAAAGATATGTTTTTACCAGCATTCAGTAAAAACTCAGCATTATATTGTGTTCTATAAATTAGCATTTAGTGGGCCGAGCCCGTGGCGCACTCGGGAGAGTGCGGCGCTGGGAGCGCGGGAGCCCTATATAGGGATGACCGGTGCGCTCACAGCGCTCACTGGCTGAGTGCGGTGCGGCCAGTCTCAAAAAGGACAAAAAATAAAAATTAAAAAAATAAATAAATAAATTAGCATTTAGTATAAAATATTTCATAGAATTTGAATAGAAAAATAAATTTATTCTCAGATGATAAAAAAAATCAACACTATAATATGCTAATTCCAATATTATGTCCTCAGTTGCTGAAAGTTTATTCACTCTACCTTCACCCAAATGTTTTGACTCAAGCATAAGATATGTAATTACCTAGTAATTGTCTTTTTTGCTAAACTCATAATTACTCACAATTGTCATTCTCTTTCTCTCACTTTCTTTAGCGAATGCTCCTTTTGAGTAGCAATGACAAGGGGAGATGACCTAAAAGGTCAAGAGAGGTTCTTATTCATAGCCAAAGGGATGAGGTTTAAGTCAAATGAGCTAGCTCAGTGTACTAAGCAGTATAAATATACAGGATGTACACAAAATATATTTAGTATGAAAAAAATTCATATACTTCTGTGTATAACCATATGGTATGTAAAGCTTTACCAAACAGTTTTTCTTGGCTAACGCCTTGAGTACATGTACGTGGCTGATTCTAAGAATGTTTAAAAGGATCGAAAATACATTAGCTTCTCCAAAAGACATTGCATGTCTCCTTGGCACACCAAAATTAAAGCTAGGATTAGGTTAAAAGATTTTTTTTTGAAAAAAAAATCTGTGATTACTTTGAAATTCCATCCATAATAGGTAAATGTACTCCAAACAACAAAGACACAAAGATCTGCCCACTGGAATATAAATAGAACATTCCTTGATCCAAACTGCAAAATTTATAAGATTTTAGGAGTAGATAACCTATACCTGGTTCAGCTGAGTAAATCCAGGTCACTCCTGTGGTAGGAGACGGGAGGATGAGGGGAGAGGAGGTTGAGGCAGGAAGGAGAGGCAGACAAGTTACAGCAATACAGTGATAATGCTATTGGGGATTAAAATTTGATTTTTTTTTCTTATATACATAAGTATGTCATTAGTTTTATCCCAGTTAGGAGGCATTTTATCACTTCATGCTATTGGATCACAAAATGATATAAACCAAGAAACAAAAAAAACTAGGAACACCTTTGAAAAGTAAACTAAAGCTAAGACTACTGGAGCTCCCTGATGTATTTTAATCAGCAACTCAGTTCTGAGAGAAAACCACAAAAGTCACATTAGGTTATGAACAGATTATCTCTGGACTAAGGATATTTTAACTCTGAATCTCAACGTTTTCTATTTATAACATAGTCGAAACTCTACAGACTTTGAAAATGGCACTAATGACAGCATAATATTACTGTCAACCAAGTTTACATGGCACAAATGATATCTAATCTGAACTGTTTTAATGTTTTTGTTTATTCCACAGGGCATGTAGAGAAAGAATATTCTCTGTTGTACTGGGCCAGTGGCCAAATAAAGTTAAGATCAATATATAAAGTAGCGTCATTCCCTTCTACTACCTATGTTTAATCATCTGGGCAAATGGTTGAAATGCTGAAAGGACCCAAATATAGCCATGAATATGTGACTTACAAAATATGTAAAGCCAGCAAATGAATCAATCAAAAGTATTTTCTGATTATTTACTATGTGCTCAGCACTGTGTGAGACACTGTAATTATGTGAAGCATAAGTAACTATAAAGCTGACATTGAACTGTTACTTCGTGGTTTAAAATGTCATTTTAAGAAACACAAATTTAATGGGAAAACAAACAAAAATACCCTCAAACAAACAGAAAAGGATTCTTCTCCAGTATAATCCTTTCCTTAATATCTCCCAGACCAAAATGAACCTATTTTCAGGGCAGCATTAACTTTTCCAGTAGGGTTAGATTACTGCAGTGCAGAAGACGGAAGGATACGTGCCAGCCTGAGTCTTCAGACAGAGGCGAAAATGATGCTCATCCACATAGTTTGTCTCCATGGAGTGAATGACCCGAGTTCTCACAGCCAAGGGTCTCCGGTGAAGGACCCGTAGAGGTGTTTTCTGGTCGATCTTTAAGTCCTAGAGGAGGATAGGATACACAACCAGAGTCAAAGCTTTGCCACCCAATGAAGCCTGTCTTGGCACCTCCGTTATCCACAGCTCACCACAGATGTTTTCTTTAGCGGACTCCATCTATCACTGTTAGGGTAGAAACCAATATAATAAATTGTACCCCCTTAGGTTCAAACTGTGGGAGTTCTCATAACCCAGTCCGTAATTACTCATTTCCTGGGTCCCAGTACCCTCACCATTAAAAAAGGCAGGCTTTGAAGTAGATGACCCTCAAGGCCTGTTTGCTCTAATATTCCACAAATTGGTTAGAACCATGGAGTTCTATCCTGCCCTTTAGTTCAGCATAGCCCTTCTAGAGGACAGTGTTCTTATCTTTGTTTTCTAACCCATCAGAGTGACCTAAATAGCGGGAGTGTCAAGCTGGGGTGAGAAATGGCTGGTTGCAGAAGGTGGGACATCAGCGTCACTTGTGTGTACAGGTCGTTTGCATGTTTTAGGTACAACCACACACCTACTCTCAGGGTGATTTTCTGTTGCTGTTGTTATACAAAAGAACATATAGATGGTCCTGATTCACAATGGTTCAATTTACAATGGTTTAATTTATGATTTTTTGACTTTATGATGGTGCGTGTACTTTGAATTTTGAATTGTGATCTTCTCCCAGGCTCGCAATGTGTGATACAATACAATAATGTGATACAGCTCTCGCAATACTGTACAGTAGCAGTAGCAAGCTGCAGCTCCCAACTAATCACAAGGATAAACAACTGATACTTTACAGTGCACTGTGTTGCCAGCATTTTTTGGATACTGTGTTTTGTGTTTTCCCATTCCATCATGTCTACAAAACGTCCATTTTTAACTTATGATATTTTCAACTTATCATGGGTTTATCAAAATGTAACCCCATCATAAGTCAAGGATCATCTGTATCTGGAAAAGGTGCATCATTGTTTAAGGTGACATTTCAACATAATAATTACAAATAAATGTGTACAATAAACCAGGACCTCTCAATATTTGTTAGCCCACTTTGAGAATAATGATCCTGCATGTCTTTTTACAATTCAGATTTTATTTTTTAGGGACATGGGCTTGCTCTTCTTACAATTAGTACAAATTAGAGATTTTTCCTTTATGTCACAATTAAGAAGTAGAGGTTAATACTGTAAAAGGTCAACTAATTCCAAGTTTTAAAAATAGATATTAGGCATAACCAGAAACGTAGGTTCATAAGAACTTTTATTTTTTTGCAATTTCTTGTTGGAACAACTCTTCCTAATTTACATGATTAGTGAGTGCCTGAAGCCTTGCTAAGAAAAGAAAGGTTTCTGGTCTCCCTCTCAAGTTCTCCACCAAGAAAGAAAAAGCAAGTTCTGACAAAGACCACACTTGAAAGGGTGTGACTGCTTTTATCAGAGCTGTGAGTCAATGGCCCCTCCTAACTCTGTGGTTTTTACCATTCTGTAATTCTTTGATTTTAGAAGCACTTTGTTCTGACGTGATAAACTGTCTCCATAAGGTCTAACTTTTCGCTGGCCAAAAAGACCAAAAAAATGAAGGATGAGATTGAACTATTAAGGAATCTCTACAGACATGGCTTCCACTTTAGAGTACAAAAACAGCTGGGCTTGCACTGAGCCACCGTCTAATGAGTGCTCTCCTCCCCCACTTCCTTTCACTCTAGCCATTCCCAGTACTTCGACCATGAGCCAGTCAGTGAGTGGACAAAACTAATTTGTTTAACAGATATATAATATTCCAATTTATTCTACCATTTCCTTATAGAAGGACATTTATTTTGTTTCCAGTTTGTTTAACAGATATATAATATTCCAATTTATTCTACCATTTCCTTATAGAAGGACATTTATTTTGTTTCCAGTTTGTTTAACAGATATATAATATTCCAATTTATTCTACCATTTCCTTATAGAAGGACATTTATTTTGTTTCCAGTTTTGTTGTTATTGATTTTACGACTTTGAACAAAGTCAATAAACATCATGTGCACATATTCTTATGCACTAGAGTTTAATTTCTACAGGACAGATTGTTAGAAGAGGGTGTGCTGGGTAGAAGACCAGTGCATTTTTAGCTTTTTACAGTCATTGCCACATTGTTTTCCAAAATGGCTGAGACACTCTACTCATTTCTACTAACAATGTATGCAACCACCCTTCTCCTCCACTCCAACCACTGACAGGTGTTATTAGTCTAAGGGGAATAAAGCAATGTTTTATTGTTACTTTATCCTGGAGGTGGAACATATTTTCAAATGATTCTTGGCCATTCGGAGTTGTTCTTTTTCAGTTGCCTAGTTCATAATCCTCTGTCCATTTTTATCTATTGGGTGTTTGTATTTTTCATGATAAATACAAATCCTATTTATGGTATCTTTTGCCATATAATTTATTTTCTATGTAGTCATATATATGTGTATACACGTACATATACACACACGTGTGCTTAAATCACAATGTATCATCCTATATATACCTTCTTTTTTTTCCCCTTGCATTTATCAGGAACACTTTTTTATGTCAATGGATATTCATCTACCACATAATTTTTAACAGTTGGGTCATAATAGTCCATTATACAGATAAACCATAATATTAAACCAGTCCTCTCTAGTAAGTCATCTAGATTGTTACAAAATATTGCCCATTTAAGCAACGTTGTGGTAACTATATGCATCTTTGTCCCCACTTATGCTCATTCCCTGTATTTGAAAGTAAATTATCTTTACAGAAAGAGGTAGGGACAGGTGAGAAAAAATAGGCAAACGAACTGGCAGACCCTCTATAGGGAGTGACATGCTCATGTAAAGAAAAACTTAAAATGTGCAAAATGTATGTGCTTTACATATATTATCACATTTTAGTCATGTACTTAATCTTAGTATCAGTTCTATTAGGTAAGTTCTATTTTATATTTATTTTAATAATAGCATTGCTGAGTGTTTTCTACGTGCCAGGTACCATCCTAAGTGCTTCATATGATTAAACTCATTTAATGCAGATCTAGGATTCGCCACCAGGCAATCTGTCTTCAGAGTCAGGCTCTTAATCACAAGCAACACTCTCTCTCCAACAGGTAAGATGAATTGCCCAGTCATTCAACTAGTAAAAGGCAAAGCCAGTATTTAAATCCAGATCTCATAGACCCCATGCTCTATGACTTGCTGGTAATAAACTAGAAGACAATGGACTCTTTTATAGGCAATAGAAAAATAAAAAGAACACAAGCACTTAAACTACCTTTATGTCATTTAGGAATCCAATGTCTTTCTCCTGTATTGCTTTATTTGTCCATATTAAGGCACTATAGGTCTTGGTCTTTTCTTCTTCACCTTCTTTCATATGTCCTATTGCCTCTCTAAACGAAAACAATAAAAGAAAGTTTTGTCTGAACACATAAAATACACGTAAGCCTTGCCCCAAATTTCCCTTTCTTTAAAAATAGCTTTATTGAGATATAATTTACATACAATTCCCCAGTTTCAACTGTACAATTCAATGATTTTTAGTTTGTTTAGAGTTGTGCAGCTATTACCACAATCTAATTTTATAATGCTTTCATCACCCCAAAAAAGGAAACTCTGTACCCATCAGCAGTAACTTCCTATTCTCTCTTTCCCTCAGCCCCAGACAACCACTAGTTGACTTCCTGTCTCTCTAGATTTCCTTATTCTGAACATTTTGTATAAAATGGAATCTCACAGTATGTGGTGTTTGGTGCCTGGCTTGTTTCACCTTCATAATGTTTGCAAGGTTCATCCATGTTGTTTCACTTCATTTTATTACCAAATAATATTCCACTATATGGATATATCACATTTTGTTTATCCACAGACATTTGGGTAGCTTCTACTTCTTTGTTATTATGAATAATGCTACTATGAACATGCATGTATAAGTCTTTGTGTGGATGTATGTTTTCATTTCTCTTGTACATATATATAATATCTAGAAGTAGAATTGCTGGGTCATGTGGTAACTCTATGTTTAACCTTTTGAGGAATTTGCCCAACTGTTTTCCAAAGTGGCCACACTTATAATCCCACCTGCAATGTATGAGGGTTCCAATTTCTCCACATCCTCACCAACACTTGTTATTTTGTGTCTTTTTGATGATAGCCATCCTAGTAGGTGTAAAGTGGGATCTCATTGTGGTTTTGATTTGCATTTCTCTATGATTAATGATGTTGAACATTTTTTCATGTGTTTATTGGTTATTTGTATATCCTCCTTGGAAATGTTTACTTAATCGTTTCCCCATATTTGATTGGGTTGTTAGAGTTCTTTATATATATTCTGGATGCAATTCCCTTATCAGATATATGATCTACAAATAAAACTTCACATTTGAAAATCCTCTCCAGTGAGCCTACCCTTACCTTGTGACAAGCTGCAAGTCACGTACTTGGATTTTGTTAGATGACTTATTAATTTTCTGTAGTAGCAGAAAAAGAAAAACAATTAGCAACTCTAGCTCAGTTACAGAGCTGCAGAAACATGACGATTTCCATGTCATGAAGTGGTTTACCTGCTGAAGTTCCTTAATTTCTTGTGAAGTGAAATGTACTCTATGAGGATTCACCAGCTCAATTGCAAAGGGCCTTCCTGGCAGCACACACCCCGTCATGAAACAGAAACGTGTTGATGGAGTTAACATTTGGGCTAATGCAAGAGGGTTAGGAGGTGTGAAAAATGGGTTGAGTTCAGAGGGCTGAAAGTTTAGTGACATGACTACATCTGGGGAAGGGAAGAATGTGTGAAAAGAATCAAGGGGCTTTTGGAGAAGAAAAGGGTAGGAGACTGCTTAAACCCCAGCCCAGGAAATATGTGAAAATGGCTGCTTTCCCAAAGATCCACGAATAAGCCTGTTAATTACAAAATAAAATTCAAAAAATACCGCTAATTAACTTGGTTACACTACTGTAACATTGTCACAGTCAACAATGCCCAGTTGAAATCCATCCTCCTAGCCTAACCTACTAGTGAAACAGAAAAGCTGTGATTTCCATGAGAGGAAGTGTTCTTTAAATCTCAAACAGCTCATGATTAACCTCATCTTTCTTCTAATGCAACAAGAAATAAGAAACATAAAATAAGAAAAGTGAAGGCCAAGAGAGCAGAATCACTTTTTAAATAAAGATGTACATTTTAAAAACTGTAATGGTACTTCTGAAATGTTATTAAGTGGAAAAATTAATAATCAAACCTGTGGAAAAAAATCAGACACCTCCTCATTAATGTACATAAAAGTCCCTTATAACCTATAGGTATGCAATAAGGATGGACTCTGAAGAATGATTACCCAAAATATATATCATATAATTTATAAAGGTAGTTCCATAATCCACAAAGCTTCCCCACTTGGAGAAGCTCTGGGCCCTGCCCACTGTGGTTCTGACTAAGTGACTACGGTGAGCCTGCTGTCTGGAAAGGGTGATAATTGGAAAGTTAGTTCTAGTTAGGTGATGCTGTTGCAATCTTACCATTTCCTAATGTTCTGACATCTACATCTTCTCTTCCAGAGGATGAAAAATTAAAACCTTTGGAAAGCAGATAAAGAAAAAAATCAGAGACATAAAAGCCCTAAGATATTTGTTCCAAACCTTTGGTAGAAACACAATTCAAGGTCTTGAACAATCTATAGGAGAAACTGAGGGACAGGTATCATCCCACCTCTAATCCTAATCGCTACTAAAAATATTAATGGCAGTAATAACACCAGTTATTAAGGACTTATTATATGCCAGGCAGTGAGCTAAACATTATGCATACATTATTTAATACTTATTATAACCTTATGGTCTAGATATTAACTAAAAGAACATCAAGCTTCAGAAAGTTAGGTATTATTCCCAAGGTCACACAATTAAATGGCAGAACCAGGTGTTTCTGATGTCAGAGCCAGATCTTAACTATCGTCCCAGGCCACCATCCCACGGCAGAGCCATAGGCAGAGTACTGTTTGGAGGAAGGCCCCACCAGCACTCTGGCCACAAGCTTATGGTGAAAACTCTATCATTGTTCTTCTCTCCTTAAAACAAAACAAAACAAAATATTTACTTAAGAATTAAACTCTGTGAAAGAAAGAAGAAAAGGTTTGACTCTAAAAAGCAAATTCATTATAAAATCCAACCTAAGCTGAAACCATAATAAAACCAACATACATCTAAGATAAATGGATCATCACAGACTAAAAGCTGCAGATATCAGAAGGGGAAACCGGTTTTAAAGAAAAGGAGTGTTACACATGGAACTGACTGCTAATTTCCTCATCATCGCTATGGCAAACATTACCATGAGCAGGCATTGTTCTAAATGCTTTATATATGAGGGTATTTCAAAAAGTTTGTGGAAAAATAAAATTAGAAGATAATACAAATCTTTCCATGAACTTTTTGAAGTACCTTCCTATAGTAACATTATAAGGTGGGTACTATCGTTATCCTCATTTTACTTATGATGAAGTTGAGACAGAGACAGAATAAATACCTTGCCTAAGATCACATCATTGGTAAGTGGTAGGGACAGGTATGAACCAGGCAGTCTGGCTCCAAAGTCTCTTAACCAACCTGCTATATGGTACCACCATGAAGACTTAGCCAGAGGAGCTCAGGCTTGTACCCACAGGGACAGGCAGGACCAGTCTTCTTCAACCAGGGGCTAGGAAAGGCTGAGATGTTTTGGGAACCCCGGTCAGTCATTAAGTGGTAAAGGTTTTTTTTTTTTTTTTCTTTTGGAAGCTGGCTAGTATAGGGATCAAACCCTGGACCTTGGTGCTATCAGCCCCACACTCTATCCAACTGAGCTAACCAGCCAGCCCCTAGAGTGGTAAAGTTTGAGGTCTCTAAACATAGAGGTTGAATGCTAGGAGAACTTGGGCTCACATCCTGATTTATTCATTCAGTGAACAAATATCTACAGGGTGCCTACTATGTGCAAGGCACTGTGCGAGATGCTGGGGAGACAAAGGTAAACAAGATGGACACAGTCCTTATCCTCACAGAGCTTACTGTTTGTGGAGGAACATGGACTATAATATAGTGGGCTGGAACCGAACAGGAAAAGTACAGGAACATTCCTGCTCTAGGAGCACAATTACAGTACACAAGCTATGAGGTCTGTATTTATTCTTCAACATTCCAGCCACTTTGGAGAGTGCAAGGTGAGGAAGAACAAAATTGCTTGAAAGAACAGATGAGAAATGGGGGAAGGGAAAGAGGACTATACACCATTTTGACAGCCAGTTATCTCCCTGGAAAGATTCTATATGCAAAGATTCCATGTAAATTTTAGAAGGCAGGCTAAAGGCTTGAAAAGTCCCATGTAAACAACATTGAAGAATAAACCTCCTTTCTGGGATGTTTAGCAATGAGGAAAGTAGGGTTTTACCCTTCTTTTGCCTTTAAGAAATCTCTTCAGCAGAGAGTGGTCCTTAAGAATGCCTAAGAAGGTAACTTGTCGGAAACATAAGCTCTGGGCTATTGTCTGTCACATACCCCCAGGGTGAAATGGGCTCCCTTGTAATCCACAGAGCCCAAAGCTGTGGTTCTCATAGAGTGGAGCAGCCTGGAGCTAATTTGGTAAGGGCTAGATATCCAAGGTAGGCCTAGAATTCAAGCAGTTGGTCAGGCTCAGAAGTCTGGGTAACCTGCGCTGTGTTAATACCTGAGGACTAGCCAAGTAAGCAGCCTTGAGAGACACGCTCTTTTCCAGGTGGAGAATCTAGACCAGGCAGGGAGTAGGATTCTGTGGACCACTAAGTCCCAAAGAACCCTCCCTTCTGTGTTTACACTCCAATGTCAAGTTACTAATAAACCACAGCAACATAAGTAGCTTCCAGTCAGAGTCAACAGACTTCAGCTGTTGCACTAAAGATGGACAGCCACAGCTAAATGCATAATTCAAAATGGTATCTGGGAAACTGAAAGATGCAGACTCCTTGGGTATGGTTTGTCTTGTACCTGCCCACCACCATCTCCAAACCAGCCATGTCAGGGAACCAGAGGGTCCACAGTAACTGAATCAGAACCTGTGACTGACAGGGGTAAAAGGAATAAGCAGGATTTGAAGAGATAAGTCTACAAATTACTGCAAAATCAGACCAGAAATCAAATTGTAAATCAGCCCATTAAGCTTCCCACAAATTCCACTCCATCAACAAGAAAGAGGTGCAAAAAGCTAAGCTCTTGAGGCCACAAAAGCATTAAATCCAGACTAAGGGAGAAGGAGTATTTATTATATCTTAGAAAAATGTTTCAAACTTGAGAACTAAGGAAGCATTCTTGGACCCTAAAGTGAGAGAAACTTGTGAGGGCAAATCTTTAAATTTTATTAGTGTGCAATTATGAATGACAGCTGACAAAAAAGGAAAAGGAGCTATTGCCTTAAGTATTAGAAAATACATGCTTAAAATTTAGTTGAGTTTTCTAAACTCACATTATTCCTTGCCTTATCCCCCTAATTCTGTGAAAAGAAACTTCTTTGAGCCTCTGTTGAAAGGAACACATATTTCAAAAACAAAATCAAGGGCAAGAATGATCAAGAACTGTACATGGTTCAGCTAATCTGCACTGGCCCTCACACCTGAGGGCAGACAGACAACAGGACTGAAAGATGGGCAGAGGCCAGATGAGGAAGGCCCCAGTACACCAAGTTAAGTAGTTTGGACTTTATCCTGTAGCTAGTCATTGACCAGTCTTCAGCAGAGAACTGACATGACAAATATTTATTCAATAAGTGAAGTAATAAATGTATTAGGGGAAAATTTCTTACACACATTGATTATAAGGGTGTCAAAATTTATTACTCATTAACTAGGGAATTAGCAAATAGATAATATAACACACCGGTCTGAAGTGACTGAGAAACAAGCTTGTATATCCCACTTAAGGGAAGGAACATTTATATAAGTAGCTAGGCTGCTCCATGCAATTTGGTTTACTTCACAGAGCTGTGAAACTTAGGGGTATAACAAAACGATCTTCCCAGAGTTGTCAGATGTGAACCATTAATCAGAAATAAAAAGTAACATATCCAGGAAACACAGGGTTAGCAAATTCATGCTATTAACCAGGAATTTCAAATCCCCTGTCAAGGAACCAGTTAGTACAGAGTCCCAGAGGTCTGCTTTTTCTCAGGTTGCTCTCAATAGATTTCTTCGGCACACATTTACAGATGAGAACACAAAATTTGTTTTATTTTCAGATTGAGGACAATTTCCCCCCCTCAAATGGAAAATGACAACAAACCACCTTCACAAAAGGTTGCAAGGGGGAAAACATATAGCTGTTTCACTTCTGGCACCCTAGAGATAATAGGGGCTTCCTTGGGACCCCAATAGTTACAACTGAAGGTTTCTTGAATCTTCTTATAGAAAGGGAGTAAGGTGGCCCCAAAAAGAATTTGAAAGGGACTTGGTGTACTAAAGCTTTATTTTCACTTGTTCATAATTTACATAAGTCTATAGAAAACCAGTTTGTAAATATTAAATTAGTAGGTAAAAGCTCATGGCAGTAGCCCAGAGTTTTTACAGCTAAGATTTTGGAAAATATTAGGTTGCTGGGTTACTGTCTTCTGTATTCAGTAAACAATTCTTAAAGACCCTTTAAGAAAGGGCTCACCTACCTGATATGCAACAAATTATAAGAGGGATGTGGTTTGAAGTGCTTCTCTTCCTTCTGACAAGTCAGAGAGCTGGAAGAGACAACCATATCTCATCTAGACCATCTGCTTGTCATTCTCAAATCACGCTTGTCTTAAGGTTTTTCAGAGAGAAGAATGGATTTCTAGCTGGTCACTCAAAAAAAGGTTTTGTAATTATGCTAGGAGCCCCATTCCAAACAGTGACATCACTCACTGCCTGCAGTTTTTACTGATGTGTAACATGATTTCCTGCTATTGAAATCTTAGTCCTTTTCCTCTTATCTAATCCTAACTGGAATCACAAGACTTTTTGGTGCCTTTGACCTGACAGGCCTGTTGAGACAAGGAAAACTTTAAGTCGACAGGACCTGATTCATCCCACAAACTCGGGCTCATTAATACCTAGAAAATAAAAGCTACCATTAAGTCTTTGTAAAATGGTTGCTGTTGATGTATTTTCTCTAGGTCTGAATCTTATCCCGGGACACGTTATAGGTTAAGACGGAAGCTAGACATTTGCCAGTGATTACTCTTGAACAAGCACTGGATGAAGAAGTTGTGTTTTAATTTCTTTATATTCCCCCCAAAGATGCCGAGGCTAAGGTGTGCCAAGGTCAGGGATTAAGTATATTCAGTTAAAGTAGTTTCAATTTTTTGAATTTCCCCCGGAGAGAGCAGTCATCTTGAGAGGAAAGACATCCCTGGGCACCTTGGCTGAAATCAAACCCAGGCCAGAGAAGCCCAGGACATATCGATCCTTGTTCATGGGAAGCCTATAGCCAAAGTATGCAGACTTGGTAGTGATTCACAAAATACAGATATCTTTCCTGCCACCCCCAAGAAATCTATTTATGAATGGCAGTGTATTTAAAATATGAATATTATAACACTTACTCTCTGCTTTGAATACTGTTAACAGATGATCTGAAATTAATTCTTCCACTGAAGATTCCAGCTTCCTTTCTCCATCAATTATCCAAGGAGTTTGTGGTAGATTCCTGGAATATTTATTATATCGCCCTGCCAAAGAAATATCAGGTAGCCTAGATGGAATAGTGTAATTCACACAATGAGATAAAAAAGAAGCAACAACTATTTAATGAGTGCCAATATCCTAGGTGCTATGATATCAAACAAGGCGTAGCCTTTAATTAACTTACAATCTAATTTGGGGAGCCAGCACATAGATGTAGATAATAAAAAGATTTAAAGTAACAAGAGAATAGACAGCTAAAGACATGATATGAATGGCGCATCAAATGAGTTTGAAAGGAATGCTCAATATATTTATTAATCTGATTGGCTGCCTAAGCACATCATATAATATTATGAAACACACCAAAGATCACTAAAAAAAGGAAAAACTTTTGCTTTTACACCTGATTAATACTTTCAATCTACTAGTCATTGGTGAAAATGCATCCCCAAAAATTCAAATACAGGGCATTTTGAAGTTTTTCTAAGCTAAAAACAAACAAACAAACAAAACTCTCTAACAATGTGCCTCACTGCTTTATGAATAAAGCTACACTGAGGCAGGTAGCTTTCATTGCTCTAGGGCTGGGTATTATAGTCAAGGCTAAAGAGCAACGCCATTTCAGCTATTAATATGGAACAGCTATAATTTTCAAAACAAAATCTGTCTGCTAGATTACCTCTTGGGAAAGACAACACAACAATTTTTTTCAGGTAGAAGCCAAGTGTTTAGTCATTTTGGAAATAATAAAATTATTATTTCAAGTTTGCTTGAAAACATCCTCTGTGCTGCTGTCTTTCTCCTGACCAGTTTCAGGTCTGTACATCTACTCACATCTCTACTTAGCCATCTGTGATGAAAACTGTTAAAACCTGGGAAGTGTCATTTCCCTCTGGTATGGCATTTTATTTTATTTTATTTATTTATTTATTTATTTTTTAAAGATGACTGGTAAGGGGATCTTAACCCTTGACTTGGTGTTGTCAGCACCACGCTCAGCCAGTGAGCGAACCGGCCATCCCTATATGGGATCCGAACCCGGGGCCTTGGTGTTATTAGCACCGCACTCTCCCGAGTGAGCCACGGGCCGGCCCTGGTATGGCATTTTAAATCACAGATCTCCTGAGTGGTCCTTAAGAATGCCTAAGAATGTAAAATAAGTTTGGCTATCAGTTCTACTTCTCAAAAGAATAAACTAACCAGAACCTAATAACAATAGGAATAAAACAGAAGAGGCATCAGTGGAGTTTTTCAGAAAGGAGAGTAAGTTGACAGTATACATATATTCTAGACTAAATATTTACCAGCCACAAAAACAGCACCATGAGCACATTCAATTTCAAGAACAGTGCATACAGCCTTTGGTGAGTTTGGAGGACAAGGAAACTGCCTGCAAAACAAAATAAATTTTACGGCTACTATTTTCCAGACATGATATTGAATCACAAAACTAAGATGAATCAGCATTGTCTGAGACACACACAGAGCCTGAGTCTCTCAAGGACTAAGCCTCTCCCTAACTTTTAGTTTCAGAATAATAAGCATCTTTCAGGCCTCAGGAGTACAAATGAGCATGGCACTAAGTAAATCAGGGCTCTGCTGTTACCTTTCATGCTCAGGAGGTCTCATTGTCCCAGATGATAACTTCCAACAGCCTTGAGATTTCAGGGAAAAAATCAGTATATACGAAGTAGAAGCCACTCCAGGCTCTCTAACCATTTTGCTGCTTATAGTCACTCACTGCTTTCTGCCTGCTTACATGATCCTCAATCATTTGGGTAAAGCTGGTGTGCAGAGAGACTGGTCATATGAGTAAGTACCACCTGTGGGGAGGGTACTCCAGCATTTTTCTCCCCTTTTCCTTCTCATTCCAATACGACCTTGGGAATCAGACCACAGAGCCAGAAAAAGTAGAATGTGGCAGATTCTGTCCTCTTAGCTAAGAAACTTTAATCCAACTGAAGACAAATGGGAAAGAACAATGTATGGCTTTATTTTCTGTTCAGCATTCTAGGAAATTTCCAAAGCCATGGACTGGAGTCTACCTGTGGACTAGATGTGGATTTAACTTCAAATGTGTGTCTTGAAAATTTCATGCAGTTTCCCAAGATGTCTAACAAAGAAATCATTTAGAAACTCAGGAACTACTGCTTGTGTAGAGTAACTGTCTTTACTTTCTAAAATTTAATAAAAATATTTCCATTCTGAGGCTCATTTTTAGTCAGTAAAATGTATGAAACTTCCTTCATAATGTCATTGTTTGAAATTTATTTAAGGATCTTCTGGAAGGATAACTACAATAATATTTTATTTAATAAAATGAATGCACTGAGAATTAAAACAAAGTTTATTGTATTCATTGTATTTCAGCATATTTTAACAAGTGAGGAAACTCATGAGCCTTCTTCTCCCTCTTCTGGACAATACTAGGAAATACAGGATTAGGGATGTGATGGGAGTAGGCACTGGACTAGAGAGTCAGGACACCTGGCTCTAGGTCCACTCTGTGACTCAGTTAAAACCTTAGGCAAATCAGCTCCCTCTTTGGATACCAATATCCTCTTCTAAAAGATAAAGAAGTTGTACTTGATTTATAAATTCAAATATTAATCTCACAAACATTTTTTGAACACCACTACATGCCAGGTACTGTGCCAGGGATTGGGGATACAACAACTAAAACATAATCCTGCTTCCTGAGATACATCCAGTCTTGTTTTAGAGATAATCCAGATTATCTCTAACATTCCCTTTGTTCTAAAATTCCATGATGTTTCCTTGTTTCCGTACTTCTACTTACTTGCGGAAATCCTCTTCTTTAATCTTATTCAAAGCTTTCATAACTGCCATTCTAGTGAATACCGACTATATAGGGTAAAATGAAAAGAAAAGACATTTTGTCACCTAGACAAGAAAACATCAGAGGTGAAATACAGAACATGGTTGGAGAAATTATATCACTTTACATACTTAAAAGAGAGAAATACTTAATAGTTTCAAGAAAAGGTATACCTCTACAAGCCTTCTCTTCAATCTAGTGTATGTCTATAATACCAGGTAGATCTAGCAGAACAGGTTTCCTTCACTACACCGTCCCACTTCTCTCAAAGTATGGCATACGAAATGATGACATCGCAGGAAATGTGCTTTGAAATTTTTTCCACCAGACCTCAAGAAAAATTTAGATTGATTCATCTACATTTTCTTCCCTACATCCCTTCAGAGGCCACAGTATGTATTTTAGGAGTTAGTTGCCAGGGTAAGGGGTAAAACAGAGCCACCCAGCCTGCCTGGGCATCTAGCAACTCAATATCACTCACCTGTGACAGGTAAGTAAACTAACACACTATACTGAACAGAAGGCATCCACAACAAATGTCTCACTTGGTTTTTTTGTTTTGTTTTGTTTTGTTTTTTGTGGCTGGCCAGTACAGGGATCCAAACCCTTGACCTTGGTGTTATCAGCACCGTACTCTAACCAACTTAGTTAACCATCCAGTACCCCACACTTGGGTTTTCTAAAATAAGAAAAGCCAAACTAGACTTAGTAGAACTAATCAATGCATATATACATGGCTTACTATGATAAACCATAATTATTTCTTTTGTTACAAGAAATCACGTTTGACTGAAAAGGAGTAGAATATAGGTATCTCAACAGTTTATCATGAGACAAAGCAATGATTTTTCTAAACCATATTCTGGGGAATCCTAGGGAGTTCTACAAGGTACCATAGGATTAGAACTGAAAATTCAGTGCCTGTTTGATAAGGCATGAAATCTTAGGCCTGACAGAATCTCAAAAGGTCATTCAATTTACTCCCGGCCATGAGGCAAGAAAACTACATTTGAGATTCTGAAACTTCCAAGGTCCAAATGGTGTGAGTCTACAATGCCTTGACAAAAACTTTCCTTATCCTATCATTTGATGCTGGCACTCGTATATTTTCTCAAAAGTAACAAAAAATAAAACTAGATATTCAATATAAATATGTCTTACAAGTATTTGGGCAGAGCTTCCCAACTGGTGTGGCAAAGCAATGGACCACAGTTGTGCTAACACGTCGAACCCTTCAGCTCACAAGGGCTGCCCGGGCAGGGCCTGAGACAGTAGGAACCTCCAGGCCTGTTGTTTCCAACCTGGAGCAACTTTATCTGCTAACCTCAGGGTGCTGAACAAACATAGTAATGTTCCAGGTGTACCATAACATGAGAAAAGCAGGGAAGCACTGCTTTAGGGTTGGCCTGCATTCCCAATTATTTCTGCACAGGGTATTTGGCAAATGTTACAAACTTTTTTTCCCAACTCTAAAAGCCCCAGAAATTAGTCAAGGCAAGAAGACTAACAGATGTATCTTTGACAATTAACTTATATCCTTTTTAACAACCACAACAATGAAATGGATGTCAGTAAAACTGTAGGAATGCCTGACTTTCTGTACAAAACTAGTTCATAAGTAACTGGGACATGAAAGATTGCCAATATTGTGTGATGCCATTCTATCCTGGCATAAAATGAACTAAAAGTGCATGCTAATTAATTTTCTCATTAACATGAAGTCCAGCTCACACAGTAAAGGGGAGTTTGAATAAAATGCCCATTTTGCAAATGTTGCCTCAAATAGGCTATATTAATTCATGACTGTCCTAAATAAAATACTTTGGATTATATTTTTAAAATACCAATTTCTGGAAAATGGATATCAGACAAGAGCTTAGAATGCTGCTGATAACCATGGATTTTTTCCAGATTATGTAATTTGAGGAATTAAAATCTAAAAGTTGAATTTCCCCAAATGGGTAATAATAACATCATTGAAACATAAGTTCTAAATTTAATGACATCCACTGAACAATCAAGACATTGTCTTCCTAGCCAGAGGCAAAGGTACTGAGAGTTGAAAAAAGTAAAAATAAATATAGCAGATGGAAATATTTAAAGGCTGATTCTTAGTATAATAGAGTTGCCACATTTCTAATGCATATCCCTTTTCATTGTTAATTTGAATATTCAGTTCAGACAAAACTAAAGAATAATATGCGGGAATGCTTACCTGCTTGTTTTTGGCTGGCTTGAAACAATCTGGGCATATCACACCTCTGAAATAAAATTCAAGTTAAAATAAAAGGTTAGTTAGTTTATTTGGGGGTGGATATAATTCATATTTATTTTATACAACATGGATGCTAAATTTAGGATGTCAGGAGCAGAAAAAAATGAATCCTTATGTGAGCTGCATTGGTTTGTCTACAAACCTTATATTAAAAGGCACATTTTAAACCTACTAAGACATGAGAAATTCTGAAATGCGCATTAGAAAGAGTAGCAATACGGGCCGGCCCAGTGGCGCACTGCTACAGTGCGCCGCTTGGGAGTGCGGTGGCGCTCCCGCCAAGGGTTCGGATCCCACATACAGACCGGTTCCCGCTCACTGGCTGAGCGAGGGGCGGGCGCAGCACCAAGGGTTGCGATCCCGTTGCCGGTCCCGGTCCGGTGCGGGCACGACACTGAGGGTTGCGGTCCGTTGCCGGACACGAAAAAAGACAAAAAGGAAAAAAAAAAAAAAAGAAAGAGTAGCAATACTATTTTCATGAAAATCAAAAAACATTAACAATTTTACACAACTGACATTGTTGTTTATGTGGCAACTTACAGGAAGTGGCAATCCTCAACTGTTTCTGGGTGGGCAAAGACCACACTCACTTCAAACAAGCTCTAAAAATTATAAAGACAGTTTTAAAATGAGCAAAAGGAAACTAACATCTAACAACTTATGAATGGAAACAGAAATTAACTCTCAAAGATTGGTGCAGAAAAAGAGTGACAAGGAAAACTGGAAAGACTACTGCTCTCAAACCAGTTTGTTCACAGGACAGCTGTAAAGGAAATAGTGTTTTGTGTTTTTTAAAAACTTCTAAAATTCAGTCACTAGTGATCCTACCAAAAAAGTTTTTAAATAAATTTGTATAATTTTTGGACAAATAATATAAATGAGGTGTAAAGATGAATAAGAATTCAGGGAACTGGAAAAAGGTAAGTGAAAGAAATGAATTATTCTGTCAATATTATGCTTAGAATTATCAGCAAGGCAAAAAACATTTTATTCACATCCTTAAAAACTGTGTGAAGCTTCTTTTTAAAGTGCTTAAATTTCTTAATGGATTTGAGTTTTAAAGAAAGATCTTAATTTTTTTGTTTTATTACAAAAGAAATATATGTAAATTGCAAAATAATCAAACACAGGATGGTTTTCAATTCCATCCCACTGAGGTAGAACTAGTAACAATTTTGTATGTTTGTTTCTAGCCATTTTTATAAATAGAAACATATGTGCATATCCTTTTTGAGATATTAAACATGCTTTTGGAAAACTGCTTTATTTACTTTTGTGTCATGGACATCTTTTCAACTCTAGGAACTGTTGGATGTTTAAGTTGAAGAAAATTTTTTTGTCATTAAAAAATGCTACAATAAACATTCTTGTAACGAAAAAAGAACTGTTTCATACTCTATGTACTTTTACCCCCACGGGAAATATACAAAATTCCACATTGAAAAAAAGCTGTAACTGTCGCGATATGTTGCAGTTTCATCTTTTTTATTGAGTTGTTTTTATTGAGCTCTGTATTTACTGAGTTCATTAGCCCATCAGCAAGCTTATTAGCTACTCTAGAATCACAAGAATGAATAGCTTTCTTTTTTGCTGCTTCTTCTAATCCACAAAATAAAATTAAAATGAATGACACATTCCTTTTATTCAAGAAAACTTCACTCGACCTGAATCTATTAGAACATTATCGCATCTTTTGTTTTCTATTTTCTGCTCAACATCTAAAATTATTTGTGCTTCAAAACAGAAATTTGAGGTAAAAATATTTTGCATTTATGATTTCTCTAATTTCCAAAGCACTTTCATTACCTCATTTCCTTTTCATACTATCTGTGAAGTTTTATTCTCTATTCTCTCAGTATTTAGTTTAAAGGACAGTCAGAGTTTATTCTTACTAACAGAAGTAAATAGAGCTATATAATTCAGAATCATTAAAAAGAACTATTTTGGAAGATGGTTTTGCGATTTTACTTGAATAGGCTGTAACTGATATTCAGGGAATTTTTTTTTTTTTTTTTTGGCAGCTGTCCAGTACAGGGATGGAAGCCTGGACCTTGACATTATCAGCACCACACTCTAACCAACTGAGCTATCCAGCCAGCTAGGAATTTCCTTTAAATGAAATAAAGCAATGAGGCCATACTATTAAAATCTAATTTAAGATGGCCTGGGAATATGTCCTATTTTCAAATCCAGAAACCTATTGAGCTCTTCCTTGAAATTCAATCCATTCCAGAGACTGAGGCAAGCTCTGCTCTGGAATAGAGGGAATGGATAAATGTTCTGGTTTCAAAGACAGTTTCTGCCTTATAGTAAACAGAGGGACTTGAGATACCAACAAGGCAGGAAAGATTGAGCTTATTCTTGCTGTGGTTCAATAGGTTTTGTCTATATATTTGAAAACAAGATTAACCACTGATAAATCAAAATTAAATAGTCTAGAGTTGACCCTACACTTGCTCACAGTTATTTATATATTGCTTTGTATCAGTAAATCTGTCTCTCCAATTAAACTATAAATACATTAAAGGCCAAGATTCATTTCTAACTTTTTAAGGTCAATTAGGGTATACTGCACCTGTTACACTTGTAAGTGTCCTGGATCACAAAGAAGTCTTTTGGGGGTTAAAAAAAAAAAAAAACAACGAAGGGCTTTAACCTCAATTTAAGATTGTTAGAAATTAACATTTTAAAAACTTAAAAATCCTTCATGGGATTATTTAAAGAGAAAATTCTATTGGCTAACCAAAACTCTGCCACATAATTCAGTAAAATTAGTAAAACTACAGAATGAAATTAACAATGCTGATGACCCAATACCTTTCCATCAATTGGAACACCCAGTTCCTCTGAAAACAGGGGGTGAGTTATCCATTTGTAGGCTTCTTTTAGCTGAACTATATCATTTCTTCCCAGCAACAGACTCTGCTTTCTGAATAACATAAAAATTAATTCACTGTCATGAAAAACTTCACTTTTTTCATTAAAGGCAAGAATTAATGCAATTATTGAAAAATATTGATAGAGTGCATACTATGTGCCAAGCACTATTTTACACATTAGATAGAAAGCAGAGAACAAAGCAGACAAAAATTCCTCACTTCATGGATCTTGTATTCTAGTGGAATCAAGTAACTACTTTTTAAAATGGCATATAAGACAATTTTTAAAGCTTCAAAGACAAAAGCACACTAAGGGGTTTTTCTGAGAGAACTGCCATATTCTGGGATTTATACCTCCGAAGACAGAAAGGTGAAACAGAGATGACTGATTATTGCTCAGAAACTACAAAATTGTGGATTACAATAATCACATCCATATTAGAAAATGCTTGTATCTCCCCTCTTGCTGAAAATGGGGCTTACTTTTGGGAAATCAATGTAAAAGCTGTACGTTTTTTTTTTCTCACTGCTAAAGAAAAAATATTAAATTTTAAAGTATCAATGTTCTGAATGTTCATAAATGTAATATCAGATAAATATCTGAATAAAAATCTGACATTCCCCCAAAATCTACTCATGAGCCAGGAAATAGGTTTTGGGAAGTCCCCATTATGAGTTTTAGCTTTAGTCTGTAACCTAAAATTGTAATAGAAAGGAACTGAGGTAGAAAAATATATTATGGTATTATTAAAACTGCTCTACTCTGCTGAGAACACTGGGATATTGCTAACAAACTAACAAGCCCACATCATTCAAATGATTAAAACTTCAAACCAACTTTATGGCTATTTACAGGGTTACTTTTAACAAAGAGAAGTTAGGGACAACTTGTGAATCATTCTTCTTAATGTCTGATTTTCACTAATAGAAATTACTACTTATAGGCCCGTATTCATTGTAATTTAATTCTGCAAGACTGAAAGACACTGCTAACCACAGGTAGAAAACAAAAAGTAATTTAGCTAATGGATAAATTTAATTGATCTGGGGAAAAAAAGAATAAAAGGCCACTGTTCCTCTAAAAATGCAAATTAAGAAACAGTTGATCTACACATTCTGTATCCAGCTGAGAATATAACTGATTACAGGGAGTGCTTTCATATGCTTTGGGATTGTGGCTTAACAATGAAACATCCAGATAAACCCTACATCTGACAATAACCAAATTACTTCTCTACATTCAAGATTTTATTCCAACACTAAGTGTTTGACCTTGATAAACTGTTACTAATTCTCTGAATATCAGAAACATTTTAGGTATTTTAAAAGACAGTCTTGATACTGTATCAACAGTTTAACTATTGAATGATACTTGCACGAAATTGCATCACAGGTGAAAGTAATTAATGTACAAGATTACATTTTAAAGGATTAATATTTAAAAGAGGCAACCACAAGAATGGAAACTATTTAAAAAATTGTTTAGACTCTAGAAAGTCCAAAGGGTTGCAGCAAAAACCAATCCTAAAAATGAGTTAAAACATTACTTATTATGTATTTAAGAAAATTGGTTTTTTAAATCCTTCACATTTTGAAATATATTTAGAGTGTCTTAGTCCAGTTAAAAAACTTCAACTACAGGTATTTTTTTCCCTCCAGAGTGAAGAGACAGAGGAAAGGGTTAACAGACAGCTTAAAAACCTTATCTTTACATATACGGCAAAAAACCAATACCTAAGATGACAGATTTTCAATTCTGAAAGTTAAATGTGGTTAATAACTTTTCTAATATAATTTAGAATAAATGTTTTCACAGAGGTCCTTCACATATACCTGACTGTCCTTTAGAGGGTTTAGTACTCATTAAGGTATATTCAGTTCCCATTTAGTACTTAGTAAGTGCATTTCTCACCTCTCTGTTAGATAACTACTCATGAGCATGTCACTTGCAATCACTTTTGCTATAGATACAACACAACCACCATTCTAGAGAAAAGATGAACAAAAATACCCAAGGCAATTAATTCTTTTCTAAATTCCCTGAATCAAATCTTTAATGGCAATTCCTCCAAAATCTTTTCAACCTACAATGAAGTAGGGGCACTGAAGAAAAAGACTAGTGTCCTGTCATTTTTCTCTTCCAGTATCCTTATGTCAATCAGGATCTTTTGAAAGAACCAAGGTTAGTTTGAAATCCTTTGATAAGGAATGAAAACAGCAACTCACTAACAATGTAGATACAAACTGAAAACATTTAGAAAAGAGCATGCTCTGATTATGCTGACAAGTTTCTAAAACATAGGATCAAATTTTATTATGCCAGAATCATAAGTATTTGAGATTAATTTCATAAAACCTAACTAAACCCCAAAATCTTTGTATGTATATGATTATTACGTTCTAGAAATGCAGATGTGAAATACAACCCCCCAAAAAGCCAAGTTAGTTACTTTTTCTGTAAATCACTGAACCAAGTATGAGATTCCAATACAGAAATATATACTTCTCTCTGGCTTTTCTCTACACAGTGTACAGGAAGCTCCAACAGTCACATGGCCCTTTTTAGTCTCAAAATCCAAAAAGCTCTGGAAAATTAAAGTTGCTTTTTAAAACTCAGTTGGCAACTAAATCATGATTTGAACAAATGAGGATATTTAGAGACTATCAAACTTAGTGTGAATATTCATATATTTCATTGCAGAAACATTAATATGCTTGATTATATAGTAGCACCCCAGGCTCTGGAGGGGAGGGGTATGTTATATATGATATTTATATTACATTTCTAAAATCCAAAAATTCTAAATTCCAAAACACATTTGGCCTCCATGGGTTTCAGATAAAGGATTGTGAACCTATGTTTTCTATGTCTTATCTATGTATAAACTCACTGCTGTTCTTAACTAGGATTTTACTCCTTATCTTTTATGGCATAATTTTATAATTTGTTTCTAATTTAGTTTCTAAGACCAATGTAGAATTTATTCTTTTAAAATAACTTCCCTATCTATTTAAGTGCCTAATGCATATAAAATATGCATTAAATCACATTAAATCTACACACACAAAAAATGAATCTTAAATCTACACATACAAAAAAATGAATCTGGTTTAATAGACTACTAATATGCTATGCAACTAAACTAAACAGGTTAACACCCTAAATTTATACAATAAAAAATGTTTCTTTGCACCAATTTCTCTAGTAGCTAGTGAATTCACTCTAAAAAAAGAGATAGTAGTAGTAAAAGTACTTTAAGAATCAGGTAGCTTGTATTTAAATGGTAGTAAAAATTCCCTACCTAAATTACTTACCCCATTTCCTGTTTTACCAGCAACCATGCAGCATGCTATAGGCAATTTAGTCACACCCAGAAAAAAGAGAAAAGAGGGGAAATGTTCAGTGAAATTAAGTTCCAATATCATTACCTAAGTGTTTAACTAATTTGCTAACCAAACTCCCCTTTTTAGGAGAGGAGTTAGTGTTTAGAACTGTGGCACTGACCTCAGTCTCATTTAAAGTGAGAAATGAAGTAAGATTTCACTTTGCAATGCTGGTTTGTTGTGGGCTAGGAATTCAACAGGGGTATCCCCCTCCTCCCTACAGATTTCTACTTCTCATTAATGAGGTATGAGTGTTTCTTAACATGGGTAGCTTACATTTTTTCTTAAAATATTTTATTTCATGGGGGAAAACCCAAAGTAACCATGTACATAGTCCCCAAAACATAGAATTGATGGCCCCAGTTTTTTTGTTTTTTGTTTTTAAATTAGTGCTAACATATTTTCAACTCTATCGAGTTAATGATGTCTACCTACACTTAAGTGTTTAGGAGTAAAATGTAATAATGTCTGAAACTCACTTTGAAATACAAGAAAAACTAAGATGGATTGATGGATGGATAAAAGATAGCTAGATATATAATAAAGCAGATATAGGAAAACAGTAGCAATTGTAGAGTCTAAGTGAGTATATGTGCATTCACTAACAATTCCTTCAATTTTTCATACATTTGAAACTTATAATAAAATGTTAGAGAAAACATTCTGGGAAGGATTAATAAAAAACTGAAAAAACTGCTAAGCTGAAGACGATAACATTCACAATCACAATTGTTATGAGGATTAAACAAAACTCATGTAAAATGCTTTGCATAGTAAGTGCATGGTATTATGATTTCTCAGTTTCCTATCAGACTCCCACAGTTTTCACCTTAAAGAATGGTAATGACATGTCCTGTCACAGTATATAGCATTTTGTGAACATGACAGGAACATACACATATATACCATATGTAGTCTCTGCTTCTACATATCACAAAATTGGCCAGTCATTATCATGCACATCCACTTCAAGACATGGCTTAACATATGTATATGCTGTGGTTCATATATGCAGCCCTGTCCTTTTAAACAAATGTGACTTCCTTCAAATGATCAGCAGGGCACTAGAGACTTCTAAAGACTGAAGAGCATTCAGAAACATTAGGTGCGTTAATTCTTTCAGGCTGAGCAAAAAAGGACAAATGAATCACTAGCTAGGTAAGAACTGTTCCCAGTGCCTAAATTTCTCATTAGTACCTTCTGATTTATTTGTTTACTCTGCTAGCTCAACCTAATACCATTCGTAGTACTACAAGACCCTCCCTTCTTTCCTTCCATTTATTCAAGCCCTATTTCAAAGTGTATGGGTATGGTATAACATACAAATTACCAGGAGTCACAAAACCTGCCCTTTAGATTTTGCTTAACTTCTGCGGTTCAATTTCCTAATGTGCAAAATGAAAAAGTTGGCCTAAGATGAATGTGATTTAAACTTTTCTGAATGGCTAAAGGTTATCATAAAGGAACATTAGTTAGTACACTGTTTTATAATAAAGAGTATTGAGACTTATTGGACTTTGAGATCATAGAAAAAATGAATAATAGTCTCCTAAAGCTGAAACCTTGTAGTCTGTGTTGTCCCATCCTTCTGTTAGCCTCATACTTCAAGAGATCAAGAAACACTTATTTCCTTATCTATGCAGGGATACTAATACTTTCCTTGCAAGGATATTGTGAGAATTTAATGAAATAATGTATGTAAAGAACCAAGAAAGATTCCTGGCATGTACTGAATAAATGATAATGTTATTGTTTAATTGAAACTTTATCTACAATTTGCAAATAATAAAATTCAAATTTATCCCTTAAAAGACTTACAGAACTTGATCTCATTCCCTTATATCCCCAAATTGTTCTGCTACAAGTAGTACTGAAGCCTCCCTCACCAATGAAATCTGAGCTATATTAAACTGTCTATCTCTTCTTTAAAGGACCTCAGACTCTTCTGTCCTTTCTTAGTGACTTTTCTGTCTCTTCTTTTGAGGCAAACTCTGTTCCCTACAGTCACTTCCAGGTGATGCCATCAAGTCTGCAACGTAACCTGCCACCCTCTGATTGTAAGTAAGGCAGAACTGGGTTGCCAAGGGAAATCAGATAACCGGGGATACCATGGGAAATTAAATCAAATGTCTTCAGTATCTGAGACTTGTTGAAGGGTTTTTCCTTCATAATCCTCTGCAGGCTCTCCGCTCAATCATGCCAACAGGTTGGACAGAACTAATCACACAGCAGTGACTAGAAGGCTGAATTCCAAAGAAGTCAGTATTGCTCAATTAACCAGTTTTTACCACATGCTAATAATACCCTGGACCTGTTTCTGCCAAGGAAAAAGAAATACATCTCTTCCTTTGAGGTCACCAAGATAATTTTAATAAATGTTCTATTCCTTAGTCAATGGGAAAAAAATCAATTCTCTAAAGTAAGCTATTAATTCTTTCTCCCCCACAGAACCAAATGGAATTAAAATGATCAAGTTTAATCAAATTTCATACCAGAGGCAGTATGTCACCCTCTGGAAATTTAATCCTGGACTCTGCTTTAACTTTATTTGAGAATTCTAGACAAGTCCTGAATGGGGCAATTGAATAATTGCTTGCTAAAATGCTGTGTACTATTAACACACACACACACACATACATACATACACTACTGACTAGAAGTTCTACACCTGGGAATGGCTTTTGAGCTTAGAGGTTCATCTAGCATCAAACAATGAGAATGAGTGATAGGGGGACGAGGGATTGAGGCTGATTCAAGCAGAGGTGGCAGGAGGGAAGGACAGAGAGAAAGAGGCATTAAAAATGGCATGTTGTTTCAAAAGGAGAGAACAGAACTGAAGTTACCAGAGGTGGGAAAGCGGGGACAGGGTAAGGGAGGAACTGGTAAAGGGCCACAAAAAATGACTCATTGTATGATGTTGAATATACTAATTATCCTGATTTGAGCATCACATATTGCATACAAGTAATGATATTCAACTCTGTACCCTACAGATATGTACAATCAACTATGTTACAATTTTTTTTAAATTAAATAATTTTTTTTTAAAAGGCATGTTGGAGAAATACAATTGAGTAAAGTTGGAGCATAGTGTGTGTGTGTGTGTGTGTGTGTGTGTGTGTGTGTGTGTGTGTGTGTGTGTGTTGTGTGTAAATGAGGGTATGGGTTCCATGATTAGAGATGAAACTGGAAAGGTCAAAAGGTTTGGAGTGCCAAGCTAGGACAAGAACGCAAAGACTGAAACCATCACATGACAAACGCCACATACATTTGATCTTTGAATCTCCTATAATTCATCAGGTAGCCAAATAACTATCATTTTCATACTATTGTTTTTCTTATATGGTAGTTTGAGAGGAAAATAAAATATTTCTTGTACCAAAATATTTCTTTATCATACACGGGAAAACACAGTGTGAAAAAGTCATATGTTCCAGAAAAAGGAGAGAATGTGTCCAGCCCCCTTTCCTCATTTTTTTTTTTTTTCCCCTATCTGGCCCTTCTAGATACCTAAGTCTGTAATTCCTAATAGAGGGGAACAAACATTAGACCAAAAGGTAAGCTCTGCTTCTAAATACCGTATGATTGCTCGCAAAGTGGCTTATCTCTCTGGGCCTTGGTTCCTCAACCATCAGATGAAAGGATTCAATACTTCATTATTTTAAGGGTACTGCCTCTCTGGTGCAATCTTTACTGAGAATACAGAGATGAACAACCAGTTTCTACCCATGATTAAATGCATGAACTAAGAGAGATGAAAGGGAAGTAAAATGATAATAAACATCAGTGGTATTAATAATTAATAACATTAATGAAAATAAAATACAGAGTGGTTGTGACAGGGATATACTTATACCCTTAGGGGGACAATTAAAAGATCCTCAGCTCAGTCTTTTGAGAAAAGTGACACCTAATTTGAGATTTGAGTCATCAGTGACTTAGAATTAACTGGGTAAAGAAATGGGGAAAGTTCCAAATAGAGGAAATCCTAAGGTGTAAAGGGCAGATTGTGCTGGGAAGGTTCTGAGAACTATAAATCAATGGTCCCTAAAGAGCTGAGGATGTGTGGCTGGGAAGTGCAAAGGAGAAAGCAGGATGTAACTTATAGAATGACTGTACCCATACTAAGGGGTTTAGATTATACACTTAGAGCAATATGGTGCCACAGAAGGATTTTAAGTTATGGAGTGGCACGATCATATTTGCCTTCAGGAATGCTTACTCTGGTTGCATTGTGAATTAGAAGAGGAAGATGGGAACTATGGAAAATGAAGACATTTGATAAACTAAAGCAGTAAATCAAGCAAGAAATAATAAATTATGGCAGTGCTGGTGAGGATGAAGAAGAGTAGGCAACTTTAGGAGATAATGAGGACACAGACTGGTGGGACATGGTGATAGGCAGTGATGTTGGGGTTTCTAAATTACCACCAATGCCCTTCAACTCTAAAGTCTTCTCAATCCAACACATTTCTTGGACTCATTTATAATAACAAAGATAATACAAATGTCGACTTGTACCAATAGGGAAATAACCATAGATGTGTGGGTAGTTAAAGGCATTAGCAGTACCCCCTGCTCTCAACTCTTCTCCCAACACACACAAACGCACACATACGTATACACACTTATGTATTTTTCTTGCACACAAATAGCCAGTTGGAAACTGTGCTCAATAAGTAGGTTAGTAACTCTCCTTCCTTCTGCCCATCCAGGGCAAATGCCTAAAATTCCTTCTCCTTTTCCTCGCCTCACTGCAATCTGCTACAACTTCAAACTTCTGCTCACTAGTACCTGTTCCTCACTTTGTGTCAGAGTTCTGGCAGCCTGCTACAACCTTGACCATCTGCCTCACCAGGGCCTGCTCCTCACTTTTTATCTCAGGCATGGTAGCAGAAAGAGGAAGCAAAGACAGGGAGAATATTCTCCTATAACCACTGCTTGACCCTACCACTTAGCTGGGGTA